CATTCGTGGGCCTGAACTCTAGGCCAGGGTGCTGTCCCTCAGGTTTTTAGCTCAAGGCTAGCACTCTACCACTTGAGCCTCAGCACCACTTCTGGCTTTTTCTGCTGATGTGGTGCTGAGGAATAGAACCTAGGGCCTCATGCATGCAAAGCAAGCACTCTACCACAGAGCCACCTTCCCAGCCCTTATTTGACTTTTTAAAAGAGTAAATACTCATAGTAGAATAAGTGAGTCCACACAAAGTAAATCATCTGTAACTTCAACACCTCAATTCAGACCATCAACACTACTACTGTGATTCTTCAGTCTTGTTATCTTTCAGTTTTTTCCCCCAATGAATCCTTTTCTCACAGACAGGCATGATATGCATACAATTTTATATACTAAATCATTTTAGTTTATACCATGAACATTTTAACTTTATAATCATAATTGTTAATGGTTTGTGACATTGTTTTACCAATGTACAAAATAAATTTAAAGATTTTCCTAATGATAGATATTTATTGCCAACAACTTATTTACTAATATTTTCACATAAATATATTAGTAATACTACTATTAGCACATCAATAATATTTGTATGCAAATATTAGCCACTGTCCAAATTACTTATTTACGATTATTAAGGCAAAGTTTGGCCTTATAAACTAGCAAATTCATAGTAATTTGTATTTTTATCAGAAATGGTCAATAGTGCCTGGTTAACCAGCTTTCAATACTATTACATATACCTTGGTGTATTTTCTATTGCTTATAAATTTCTATAAAAGAAAAGTGGCAAAAACTTTTCCTGAGTTTTCATTACTACTCTTTAGATAAAATACTATGATTAATATATTAAAACAGAGAGAGGTAGAAACTCATTGAAAAGCTGTTGTTCTCTTGCTTTGAGACTTCCAGGAACCAAGATTTAAGAAAACAAGGATATGGGGCCACTAATCCAAAAGGCTGGGTTGGAAAGAGGCTCAAAAATCTCCAAGTGAAATGGATACAAAAACAGAGTTAGATGAATTCTTGTTCAAGTGCTGTTCAGAAACATATTGCATATGTCTACCATCTCTTCTGAGTATCAGAAGAAGCCTGATAAAATTTATTAGTTGAAAATATGTTCCAACTGTAGAGTTTTTAATAGTTGCATAAGGTATAGTTTTGTTGGTTGTGGGGCTTGAACCCTGGGCCTGTATGCTGTCCCCGAGCTCTTGAGCTCAAGGCTAGTGCTCTAGCTCTTGAGCCATAGTGCCACTTCTAGTTCTCTAGTGGTTTATTGGAGGTAAGAGTCTCACGGACTTTCTTGTCCAGGTTGGCTTTGAACCACGATCCTGAGATCTCAGACTCCTGAGTAGTTAGGATTACGGGCTTGAACCACCAGCGTCCAGCTTGATTTTATTTCTTATTTACTCTTTGTTATACGTCTTCATGAATTTTCTTTTGCTAATCACCTTCTCCACCAAGATGTAGAGTCAACTCCATTCCTAGTGCATTAGTTACAACTGAAGAGGATCTACATGGATACACAACTGGAGAGAAATAATAGTACAGATGTCTCAGAATAAAAGCTAATATAAGTATTAATAGGCATCTTTAAAAGAATGCCTTGTTGAATTTAAACTTACATGGAATTTTGTACTTAAAAATTATTAATGTTTTTTAAAAGCCCATGTGTATCTGAAAATAAAAGACTATCTCAAATACAATTATAAAACTCAGAAGGATGAAAAATAACTTGCTTTCCACAGGAAATGTGCTTTTTTTCTACCCTTTAAAATGTGAAATGCTTATAATTGTGAATTTTCTGGAAAGAGAACATTTATTTTGAAAATGGAAAGTTCTGTTCAAAATGAAAGTCAGCTTCTTGTCCTAAACCCACTTCCCCTTCTGGCTGTGTTCCCCATCTCTGTTAAAAGGAATCAATAGCTTTGAAGGTGCCAGAGAGCAGTCTCAATCATCCCACCACCAATCTCTTCTCACATTCTTGCTCACATCTGTGCTATTCCATTCCCAATTCTTCCTGCAGGTAGGAGTCACTCTGGATTCCTCTTCCTCCACATTCAGTACACCAGCAAATCTTCTAAAATATCATCAGAATTTCACTACTTCTTATCGTCAGAGTTAACATGACACCCAAGCCCCCATCATCTCTCCTCCAGCTTACTGACTGGTTTCTCAGCTCGTCTCCTTATTATGTTTGTGACTTCTAGCTCCAGTCTATTTTCAATACAGCAGCCCAAAGTCAGGACACTCCTCTGTAAACATCCAGTGGTTTCCTAACTCAGAAAAAGCTGAAGTCCTTTGAAAGCTGATATGGTCTTGGATCCTGCCCCATACTTCAGCCACAAGCTGCAACTGCTCTCACATTTCCTTCTAAGTCACACACTTGGCTCTAGCTATCTGGCTTCCCTAACAGCTGTGCTCTTCTCCCTTGTACATTTTATCCCTGTGGATCCCTTTGCTTGTCTCCTAAACACTGTGTTATCCATTACTCTCTTCAAGTTTCTATACCAAAAGACTATCTTCCTAGTAAGATCTTTCACCAGCTTTTCTTCAACAATTGAAGCCTTTCTTTTCTACTTCATGCTTTCCCCTATGACACATACTATGTGTTTGTACTTACTTATCCAGTTTATTGCTAGACTCCTCAACTGGAATATAAACTCTATGCATGGTAGGGGTTTGGTTCTCTGTTGTACTCCCAGTGCTCAGGAGAGATGAAGGATAGGCTCAGGCTTGGTATGTGTTTGCCTTGCATGCATAAGGACTTAGGTTCCATACCTACATAGAAGGTGAGTGTAGTACATAGTTGGAATGTAAGGGGTTCTGTTGAATGAATAATCTAATAATATATAAGGAAACAAAAGACAAGTAAAAGAATGACTCTAGCTTGAGCTCTCAATCTTGTCTATTCTTCTGCCACTGTCTATCCCTGCACACTTCAATCAGTAGTTTATCTAACACTGCCTGGATACTATTGCTCCTTTGATTAGAAACCTATGTAGTTCCAAACTGTCCCACGAGAAAAGTAAAATTCTATAGGAAGTATCAAGACCTTCATAACTGGAATACTCCTTTCTATCCATTCTTACATCTTAATCTGTAGATCAGTGTTGTCCACACCTTAGTGATTTATGGGATCCTCTTGAAAGGAAAAACATTTCTCTCAAGGTCATATCCAAAAATCCCAGTCTGAGAAACATCAATTTAAGAAATTTACATCCTAGTTAATAAAAATGCCTTTGTTTGTAGATAATTCCTAGAAAAACAACATCCAGTCTAACCCAAGTGAGAAGTTAGTTATACTTTATACCCTCTAAGGATAAAGCTACAGGCTGCAAGTATAGAAATGTTGCTGCATACAAATCAAACTACCTTCTACCCCAGAAGAGGCCTCAGCTCATATAGACCCTCACACTCCTGCTTTCTCTCTCTTGGAATACTCTTCCCTTGGGGACAGTCCTCAAAATTTTACTCATCACGCAACATAGAGTTTGATCATTACAGCTCTTATGAACTTGTATGAATGCACTTATATATGTACGTAAATACACAGAGTGAAGACATAATGTATTTGCTTTAAGAAAACACTTTACAATAGCAATTTCCTAGACACCACTGAGGGTCTCCAAGATCCTGTCAAGGACTCAGTGAGGTCAAAAACATTTCTATAACAATACTAAGATTTCAAGAATCCTTTTCAGTCTGTCTCACAGTATGCTATACTTACTTGCAAGTATTTATGCTAACAAGGAATAAGTTTATTTTTATTTTTAAATAGCAAATATCTTTTGGATTATTAATGTTAATTGTGCACTGGTGACAGCCATCTTTAGAGAGCATTGTGATGATCAAATGAAATAGTTCACATGTGTCTTTATGGTACATAACACTTATTATTCCTTTCACAAAGGGAAATTTACACATCTTCCTGGTCCATTGTCTCTAGCTAGGTAGCATGAGTTTATCAGAGGATATTAGTAGAGATGATATATGCCACATACATCTAGAAGTTTTAAATTTGATTAGGTGGTTCTGCTCAGCTCTTGTTCTCTGGCTCTTACTTCACAAACAGTCTGTCCCACGTAGGAAAATATCATGTAATCTACATAAGCAATTCACCTGAAAAGCCCTGCCCTGGAGCATGTAAACCAGAAATGTAAGCAATCAATGGACTAGCCCAAAGGTTTATTTATTCTCTTTTATGTTTACTTGACTGTTACCTTCCAAGATAAACACTCAAGTTCTACTTCTTTTCAAATTCTTTGCAAATAGAATGTAAATTATTCCATTTTGCTCCAGATTCCCCCCACCCCCTCCGCTGAGTGCTAAAGATTTCAACAAATGCACTTCCCTAACATTAACTCTTGAAGATTCTTCAGGGGGTATGGGGATGAACTCTTTTTTGATATCCTCAGTCTCATAGGGCTAATTTGTTATCTCTTCTGTGGCATTTGCTCTAGTATATATATGCATGTATGTTAGAATGTATGTATATATTTGTATTTCCACTATTATTTTCTAATGGTTATTATCTTTGACAGTGAAATTAACAACTGATACAGTATCTTCCATATGACAATAAACTGAATAATCATGTATAATAAAAATGCTTCAAAGCCAGGCACTGATGGCTCATGCTGTAATCCTAGCTACTCAGGAGGCTGAGATCTGAGAGTTGAGGTTCAAAGCCAGCCCAGGCAGGAAAGGCCATGAAACACTTATCTCCAATAAACTACTTAGAAAAAGTCAGAAATGGTGCTGTGGCTCAAGTGATAGAACACTAGCCTTGAGCACAGACAGGCTCAGTGACAGAGCCCAGGCCCTGGGTTCAACACCCAGGATCAGCAAAATAAATAAATAAAAACAAAATAAAAATGCTTCACTGAAAATAATTCTCTACTGATCATAAAAATGGATCTGGTTATTAAAAGCTTACAATGGAACATATACACTTATAATAAAAGAGAAAGTATGAGAAAAAGTATGAAGTTACTTATATGATTTACCTTCTTTTAATCATTAAGTCTGATACAGGTATGCATCTTAGACCAGTTCCCAAAACCATAAGGAAGGATGTCAGAAGCACAGTTACCCGAAGACCTAAAAAGAAACAATAATGGAAGGTTAATCTCTATGTTCTTTAAAATAAGTCTGATGTTAATTTAAGAATAAACATGTTTATTAATCTGCCAAATTGATATTATATTCTAACATACTTTTCTCTATAATATCCAACATGGAAAAAAAACTATATACTGAAAATGAAATGATTTTCACTTTCATAGAAACTTCAGTGACAGTATCAAGACTAGAAAATCTATTAACTAATTTTTTTCAAACTGAATGTTGAGAATGTTTTGTTCAATTCAGATATAATATACTATATAGGAAAATAAAATTTTTGGCAGTACTAAGGTTTAAACTCATGGTCTCATGCTTGCTGGGCAGGCACTCTAGCACTTAAGCCACACTCCTGGTTTCTTTTTTGGCTGACTTCAAATCGAGATCCTCATATCTTAAGACTCCTGAAGAGCTAGGATTACAGGCATGAGCCATCAGTGCTCAGAATGACTAGTTATTTTTAATCTAATCAATACAAAATTCTTGTTTTAAAATGCAAATTGTCAATTTTAAAAACCTCTCTGTTGTCCCTAGAAAGTATTGTAATACATTAACTATTTTAAAATTTCTCAAAAATTAACAACCTACCAACTGTATATTTTCTTATTCTGAGGACAAACCGATCCTTGTTTTAGAATAGTGAAGCTTTGGGGGAAGAGTTTGGGGGAGTTAAAGTTGGAGTTTTGTTTCCTTACAACTCTATGGCATAAAAGTGGACTTGAGATTAGAATGACATCAGTTACAAATAATAGAAGGTATGCTTCCTTGTACATCTTAGTATAGTGCTGGTATACTATGTATATATGTATAGATAGTGCATACATATATAACCACATACCAAAATAACTGAGAAATAAAAATATAAATAGTGCTTATCTTTGGTGATCTATGTAATTGTTTGGGGGGAAGGGGAGTGCTGGGGTTTGAATTCAGGGCCCCATGCTTATTAGTCAAAATCTCTACCACTGCAGTCATGTCTCCAGCCCTTGGCTTTTAGTTTTAATTAATATATATTTTTAATATTTTGCACACGATCTCCAATAAGCATGTTACTTTTGTAATAAAAAATCAATTTTAAAGCAAAAAAAAAGTGATGTTAAGGACTTTCTGATTCTCAATTCTACAATAATGGTCTATAAATTTTCTTAGTTCATCAGTCTTTTTTGAGATACTGGTATCTGAACTCTGGGCGTTGTGCTTTCTAACTCTCCCACTGAGTCATCTTTTGCACTGGTGATTTTTTTTTGAGACACAGGCCTCACTTCCTGCCTAGGCATGGGCTTGGACTGTGATTTTTTTTTTCCATAGCTATCACTGAGATAAAAATCTTTCCGACTCTTCTGTCCAAGCTGGCCTGTAGTTACAATTTTCCTGATTTCATCCTCCCATGTAGCTGGGACAATAGGTATGTGCCTTTGTAGCTAACTGTATCAGATAGTCAGATTGTTTATAACTTATAGAACACATTGATAAAAAATGCACACAGGGCTAAGTATGTAGTTCACCCTCTGTAATCCCTGCTACATGGGAGAAAAAGCCAGCCCAGATGAAAAATATGAGACCCTATCTGAAAAGTAAACTAAAACATAAAGGGCTTACAGGTATGGCTCAATGAGTAGAATGCTTGCCTATCAAGTACAAAGTCCTGAGTTCAAACTCCAGTACTGCCAAAAAAGAAAAAAGAATAGTATAGAACTTCAGAAGACAATGTAGATCAGTTAAGTATTTCTTTCATCTGTATTCTAAATATGACTAGTATTTTGAAAATGTATGTCAATAGTCATGTTGGTAGAAGGGCAAAAGAAAATATAAAAATAAAAGATAGGGCTGGGAAGGTGGCTCAGTGGTAGAGCACTTGCCTTGCATGCATGAGGCCCTGGGTTCGATTCCTCAGTACCACATAAGCAAAAAGAAAAAAGCCGGAAGTGGCTCTGTGGCTCAAGTGGTAGAGTACTAGCCTTGAGCTGAAGAGCTGAGGGACAGCACCCAGGCCCAGAGTTCAGGCTCCACAACCGGACCCAAAAATAAAAAAAATTAAAAAAGATATTCCACCAAGGTTCAGTGGCAGTAGGCATGGGACAGAGTACTCTCAGCAGCAGCAGCCTGCAGCCTGAAGATGTTGCCGCCTATTACTGTCAACAAGCTTTCAGTACTCCTCCCACAGTGATACAAGTCATAAGAAAAACCTCCCAGGGAAGAGGCTGGGCTGCCCCAGCTGATCCTTCTACTGTCTCCACCTGGTCAGCAGGTTCTCAGACACAGCCAGTTTACCCTTGAAGAGTATGAACTGTGGCATCAGTTAATATTTATGCAACAATAAAACAATTAGCTCAATATTCTAAAAAGAAATAAAAATAAAAAATAAAAGATATGATAAAAAAGATAAGCATATAGAATGCTAGAAGAATAATGGAGCTAAGTCTTCTTTCCATTGTTGGGAGGCTATACCTTTGTTGAAACAGAATCAACATTATCACACAGGTTGTGGCAGCCTCATCACACATGTAACTCATAAAAGCCTTTGATACAGGTGGTCACAATCCTTAACATTTATCCCACATCCCTATTTCCTTGAAACCATTTCACAGACAAAACAGACTTAAATGATAATGCAATGTTTCAAATTTTTTCCTCCTAGAAAAACTGTTTTGTTTTGTTTTTTGGTTGGGTCTCAATGCTTGAACTCAGGGCCTGGGCACTATCCCTAAGCTTTTTTGCTCAAGGCTAGCTCTCTACCTCTTAGAGCCACAGCTCTATTTCTGGTTTTTAAGTGGTTAGTTGGAGATAAGAGGCTCATGGACTTTCCTGCCTGGACTGGTTTTGAACTGCAATCCTCAGACCTCAGCCTCCTGAGTCTCACCCTCCTGAGACACTGATACATGCCTAAAAAAATTTTTTTTTGATAGCAGGTAGATAGTTAAATGGTTTTTCCTTCTCTGCTTGAAGGAAATTGAAAGTCAACAAAATCATTATTATACAGATTAAACAGAGCAAGGGAAATAAATGTGAGATCCAGATCAGGCACATACATGCTCTGAGACTAATTTGTGAAATGAACTGAGCTAACTTTATAATATGCTTTTATAATCTGAGTATTATTAATACAATTTGGCAGAAGGAATACCATAGAGAATTGCACTTCTTGGTAACAAGCAATGCATACATACTGCTCATTTACTGCTTCTCCTATCAGAATACAGACTTTAAAACTACATTATAGCCACAGGAAATAGAGTGTAATTAATGAAAAATACAAAAAAGGTCATAAATATCCTGCAAAACAGTATTCTTATAAGGTTACACTTGGTACTCAATGAGATGCTGAATCAAGTACTATGATTTGGGCCTGTAAGGTTTACATTGTACATGATGCTCATCTTTTTCCTAAAGATTTTGTTTATAATTAAGGTAAGAGCCAGCAAGGAATAGCTGGGCATTGATTATGGCCATATGGTTGGTCCAAAGAACCATGCTTCCTATTATTGCTGCCAAACACTAGCGTATTTATTTCCTCCATTATCTTTTAATTAAATGCATGATCATATTATAGCTAATATAAACATTTAAGAATGAGGAAGTCATGAAAAACTGATCATTAAAGCAATCTTGCTAAGATACATCATGTTGGGTGCTGTATCTACAGACAAGTAAGAAATAGGCTTTTTGTTTAACTGTTGCTAAGTATTGCTTAATCTATCCCAGTTATACACTCTATCTTGAATAAAACTGTTTCTTTGCATTTATACCTTGATAAGATATATCTCTTTTAATTCATAGAATAAAAAAGCTATCAACTCACTGAGGGAAGAGAAGTAATAAAGACCTAGCAAGGATGAACAAATGCAGGCATGGTACTTCGTAGATACTATGTGGACAGGGACAGGAGAAAACAAAGGGGTGTTATTGTCCAAAAAGAAATGTTCTCATTACCTGATTTATAAAATGGTGATCCCTCTGTGCCACACTTTCATAATAACAATAAAATTATATTAAAACAAAAAAGACCCCAGCAAAACAGGCTTAAGAGACATGTAAAATCTCTATTAAAAAAAGACCTCAAGTGGACACAGTAGTAAGGTCTGAGTACAAAAACCATGTGATGAAAGTTATTGTTAAAATAATTTCAAAATACAAGAATGACTAAAAGGAAAATCCATTTATTCTCAAATTACAGACACCACAGGAAGTGTCCTTTCAATGGATAATTCCTTTAGTTGAGGACATAAGGGGTGTTTTAATGGAAATTCACAACTGGTCCCTAAATTAGAATGCAAAGGTAACTGGAATGCAAAGGTAATTGGAATGCAGATGGACACACAGACACACACACACACAGACACACACACAGACACAGACACACAGACACACACAGACACAGACACACAGACACACACACAGATACACACAGACACACACACAGACACACACACACACAGACACACACACACAGACACACACACACACACACACACACACACACACACACACACACACACACACACACACACACTCTGCAGGCAGGGAAAATCAAATGTTTGGATGTTAAGTCTTTGGCAAGACTGTTTTCTTGCTGGGTCCATCCACTTTTCTTTGGCTAGAATAAAGACAAGCTCTGCTTACTCCTGGCAAGATTCCCTTCTTTGACCACAGAGGTCACACCCCTGTCATGCCAACTCACTTTGAGGACTGTCAGGACTAACGACATTGGGCCTGTCCATTCTGTCTACATCAGACATAGGAGATTTGAAGTTTATATCCATATCCCATAATGTTTATCTATCCCTCAATCTGACTTTATCCCTGCTATCTCCCTAATTCCAGAAACCTTTCTACTGTATCATGAAGAGTGGAATCCTTATACTTTCAAGCTCTTCTCCAAATGGTCTCTCTCCTAAGGACATTGCTTCTACTGACACTTTCTAGGAATCAGTAGTACTCTTTCTGTCCCTCAGTATATTTTCCTCAGTATATATGATCCT